AAAACACCCCCTTGTTCCACACACACGTCGTCGTTTTCACTTTTCTGTGCTTTTCTTGTTGCCTTTTTCCTTTCTTTTTTTTCCTTTTTCTAATTGTTTGATTTATTTATCCTGGTCACCATTTATTGACTAGCCTGGAAATACAAAGTTTGAGTATAAAAGTCAAAACATTTTTCTTATAAAAAAGTTTTTGTAGCAAGTCACCCCAATGTCTCTTAATTTAAACTTACTTCATTTTTTTATTATAAAGAGATTACTCTAATATGTCATTAGGAATGAATGAAGTGTAATTATAATACTAGAACATAATCAAAAGTAATGAACATGTATTGCTAAATGAAACGTTAATACATGTGATCAATGATAAGGATTGAAATATTCTTTTGGTTTACCCTAGAAGTCAAAATATAACATCAAAATAAAGAAAGTCTAACAAACATTATAAATATTGAAACCACTTGTGAAGATTACATATTTCATTGCACATTAGATTAAAAAAAAAGGCACATATACACCTGTTAATAGCCAAGTTAGCTAGTCACAACTTGTTATACATTGTGAACTCTAAGGTCAAACCTTTAACAACTAACAATCAGCAAGGCCCAAGCCCACTTATCATCACACAAATTCAAGCCCGTTTACAAGCAGACAAATCAAGTCAACCAAAACAAGCCCATTTTTTATCACCAAATCTCCGGCCCAAATTTAGAGAACTTCCCAAGCCCAAACACCTATTTTCCACAACGGCCATTAAAGCCCGTCTTAGTTGTCCAGTGTCTTTTTCTCCTCCACCAGCCTTACACAACACCACCAACATCTCCGCCTTTGTCCGGCCTCCGACCGTCGCCATCTCCGCCTTGATCACCCGGCCTTGAACTAACCGAACCGCCGCTGATAAGTCCCGGTTCAACCCCATTCTGTCCTCACAACAAACCGTAGCTTTGACCGTTTGTTCATCATTGTAACTTTCTTCAGAGAAATTTACTGATACTTCATCATTTTCACCGGGTAGAAAGAAAGATGATAACCCATTGTTGCCATTGTAGTTTCCTTCACTATCTTTCTGTGTTTCCATTTGTTGAGCTACCTTCTTCCGTAGTTCCTTCAGTTGAGTGACTGCCTCCGTTAGCACTCTTGACTTGTCCTTCTGCATTAACACGCATATATATAAAAAAGTACAATTTAAATTATATACAATAAAATTGTAAGTGTAGCTTAACACGTGATATCAAATTGGTAATATCAATTTTATTAAATTACCAATCAATACGTATGATTAATTTTACTTTAACTACCTTATGAATGATCTTATAAGAACACACTACAGGTTCAAAGCCATACAATATATGATGGAACCATGCTATGTGAGAATAAAACATCTTATAGGCAAAAATATTTCCCCCCTGTACTAAAATATTTGTCATGTTAAAACTTATTTAATTATATCACTTAAATATAAGAAAATTATATAAAAATCTTAATGTTAAAAAATTTAAATTAATCAATTCGATTTTGTACCAAAATTTAGTCAAAGTAATCTTGATAAGAGAATATATAATGTCAGGCACGGATGTGTATCTTATTGGTTCTAGCTACCAATACTGCAGCTAGCAACAAGACGTACAATAGATAACATAATCAAATAAATTCTACTATATATGCAGATGGTGATTCTAAGAAACTGGTAAGCATATCGTTCCACTTTCGACTTTACACAATAAGCTTCTTATTTTCTAAACATTTCTAAATGGGACGAAAGAAGAAAATAAAATGACCCAACGTCCGTGTATTTTCAAAGATTTAAAGGTACAAATGTATAAATTATATACGCCAATCAAGGTAGTTTAATTTATTATATATAGTTATCTTACAATCTATCTGATTTTATAAACACCATATGTTCGTACAACTCGATGCACTTTTGCTTGTTTTCATTAAAGTATGTCTATTGTCCCTTTCTTCATGCAACTAGAACAACATATTTGATATACAAAATAGTAAACATTTGAGAAACATAATATTATACAGTGTAATCTCATAAATGGGGTATGAGAAAGGTAAGGTATACGTAGACTTTACCGATCCTATCTATACAAAAATAAAAATCAGAAACCAAAGACTTGTAGTATAATGATAGGATGGGAAGAGAACATACTTTAGGGAGATGAGGAAAGAGTTTCTTGAGAGTATGAAGATGTGCATTGATTCTTTCTCTACGTTTACGCTCCGCCATGGCATGTGTTAAAGCTACATCTTTTGATTTATTTTTCCTTGTTGATTTTCCATATTCATCAACCACATTATTGTTATTCCTCTGATGAAGAAATTGCCCAGAATTTGCACGCTGTAAAAACCCATTACAACCTTGTAATGAAGACAACATTATCACTTTCCAACTTCCTAAAGAGAGAGAGAGAGAGAAAGAACAAAACTGATCGTTTAATAAAGAAGGTGATATTAAAGGGAATTTAAAGAGGAGAGAAAAGATATGATTGAGAGATTATTATTGTTACTCCTATTATTATTATGAAAGAAGATCAGAATTGGGTACGTAAGAAAGATTTGGGATGATGAAATATATAAAATTAAATGAAGCAAAAAAGAAAGAAAACAGAGAGACAGAAAGACAGGTGATGAAAGGGTGTTTGTTTGGATAGTTTGGAACATAGATATAGACGAGCCTTAAGAGTGGGACTGGCTTTTTACCGTTGGCGGTTAAAAGGTAAATTATGGAATGCGACAGATTTTCAGCTTGAAAAGCCCACTTCAAGAGATTACTGATTCTTTGTTTCCCTTATTTTCTATTTGACAATTTTGAATTTTCTCAAGAGGCGTTTGGACATAAAATTTATGATTTAAAAAAAAATAGTATTTGGAATTAAATTGAAAAAGGATATTTGATATTTTAAAATTACGCATTTCACTTGAAAAAAACATTACAATATCTTTCAAGTTATTCACTTAAATAGATTTTCCCCTATTCACTTAAAATCTGGAAATTAGTATACTCTACTATTTGTAAAAAGCCACAATTCAACCTCGTATATTTTCAAACTAATAGTTAGGTATTTGTACACCATGCTAACTACCACAAGAGTTTAATATCTGCATGCTGACATATTAAAAAAAATTCTATCAAAATAACTATGAGTAGCCGTCCAATAAAAATGAATTATCAATGGAAAACTAAGACAAGTACTTGCTACAACTTATTATGATATGTTGATCATGTAAACAAAATTTCACCGCAATTTAAATTAAATCCATTATATAGTTTAAATATATCGTATACATTCACATGGACTTGCCTATGTTTTGCTTATACCAATTTTAATGGATTCCTTACAAATATTAATGTTCATTATTAAGAAATGAAATATCATTTCTATAAATTGCAATCATTGTTCCTAATTAATGACTTCTAATCTACCCGTGTACCATTCCAGTTGAAGCATGTACTGGCAAGGTGGGTGTAGGGCGGACAATTTTAAAGCGGACTTCTCATTCATTGATAGAAAAGATCACAAGATTTTGTGATCCGCTCCCAAATTTATTTCAATTCCAAGAGTTCGCATCGAATCGGTATATATATCGTCAAAGGTGCGGTTAAATATCCAATGATGTGACCCTAGCAAGTCTCATGTTACACTAGCATAGCTATAGGAACCTTTGAACAACAAGAACCCTTATAACATAGTATTGTAGCAAAGTTGAGAATTCAATTAAACAGTGATTTATCTGAAATATGCTTTATGTTCTGTCCTAAAGTTTGTCCATTCTATCGTCTTTAATTGGCATGTGCTACACATTCAATTCTTAAGTCTCCTTTAATCACGAATTTAATGCAAAATATTCTTCTAATATTACGAGTTTAAAATGTTCTCAAAACTAGAGAGTATGTACTTTTCAGCATTTAATTTGGTGCTTATTTCTAAACAATAAGATAATGAATAATATAATTTAGAGAAGGAGGCGGGGTCACAAATCTGTAATTAAAATGTGAAAAGGAGAGATCAAGGATGAAAATATTCAGAGAGGGGACTACTGCTAATATGCTAATCAGATTGATTCTGAAGAGTACTTTTAGCACTGCAAATCGAAAGTAAAATCAAATACTCCTATTCTTAAAAATATAGGGCTAAAAAAAAAGAGAAAAAAAAAAAGAAATTTATTGGGGTGTAGAGGTGTTATTTTATTATGCAGACTGCAAACAGGCAAATGTTATGTTTGATTGCAGTAAGTCCAGCGGATCAGACTCTCATTGCTTCCCTTCTATTTTATTTTTATTTTATTCGATTTAAATTGCATACTGATCGTATACACAAATTTAATACTAGTGCAGTGTAAATAGATTTTCCCCTTAATTTCCAGATTGCTCATCTAATTTTTTTGATGTCAATTACAATATCAGTTTGCATAGAAGTTAAACTCATTATCTTATAAGTAACTTAGAACTTGTTTCGATGATTGTTGTATGTTTGTTTTATAATGTATCATATTGTATTGTGTTATATTGTACTGTATTCTTTTGATAAATATAATATTTGAATAGATTGCATTATTTGTCGATATTCCATACTATCATACACCAGCAATACGAAGAACAAACTTACAACATTACAAAAAAAAGCAGGATACTAGGTAAAATTATAAAATAAAAAGGTAGGATAACGGATAAAACATGATTATTTAATAATAAGGAAAAACAAGATGAGAGAAAAAAAATAAGGTAACGACATCACCACATTAAATCGGTCGTTACATAAAGTGACACTTTTCGTTGTTATGTAACGACAAATTTAACAACACGATATAATAAAATTTAAATAACAATCAAAACAAATATTGTATTTAAAGTTACGATATGACATAATATAATATAATTGTATTAATTGAGTAAATATTTTTTATACGATCAGTACATATAACTTATATTTTATATACTACCAAGCATATATACGTAGAGTAAAAATTGCACCATAAAATCTGAGACAGAGTCTAACACTGCACAAATATTCGGACCTCCCAGTTTTGGCATTTTACTCGGACACAGGTTTTTCTGGGATTTTCTGGAGTTTTGGGTCCCCAGCTCAAGTTTTCTCAATTTCTTGATGTTAACTACTCATTCGACATTTCCCACTTTGCCTCCTCTACCATAGCTTAGCACAGAAGACTTTTCCTTGTTATTTCCTTTTGCTATTACTGTCCTCTAGGCTCTAACCCTACTTTTTTTTCTTCTCATTGGTGCAAATTTCTCTCCTTTTTTTTTGAAGATATTTTTGAAAATTTATGATCTCACTGGTAAGGAGTCAAACAGTTTTTCCTTTGAGTATAATTTTTTTAATACATTGTGTTAAAAGGTTAAAATTTTAAAGAAGTCTAATTATCTAAATTTTATTTTAGAAAGATTAAGAAATCAATACCAAAATTGAGAATACATTTTTACAAGGTTTGTCCCCATAATGAGAATTCTTCAATCCTTTTGAAGCAGAAGAAATACAACTTCATAACTTTAATTCACATAGTTTCATGTTTCATACCGTTCTTATATCTAAAATAGTCTTAAATTGATATCGAGGACAACACTCTTGAACCTTATGGTTGAAAAATGCAAGAACTAAGGGAAAAAATATCTTTCGAAGGACTAATTGATTGGAGATTTTTTTTTTTGGATAAGTGATTTATTGATTGGACGATCAGTATTTTTAGATATATCTAAAAGTTGTTTAACGTCCCTTGCATTCTTTGGGTGTAAGATTGACCATTAGTGAAGAAGTTAAGGCTGAATTCACGTTCAGGCCTTGTATAAACGGTCAAATAACCTTTATATTCCTTATTATTTTATTAATTAATAGGAACAAAAGAGAGAGAGAACTTAAGTTTATGTCAATTTTCAAACAAAGTAAATTAAGCACCTCTATCAGTTCCCTCCACATAGTCGAAACCAAATATGATCCTATTTCTAAACAGGAAGATACCAATACCCTCACTAGGGGGGCAATCAGAAGGCAAAAAAGTATTCAACAGGTCAATTGATGTCTCCTTTCTCAAATAATTAAAAATCGACAACGCGATAAGCATCTCGCATTCACGTATGGCCCGGGTAAGGATCGTACCCTAAGGGGTGTGATGTAGACATCTTACCCTAATGCAAGTATTTGTGACTGCTTCCACAACTCGAAACCCACAATTTATAGGTCATACGAAGACAACTTTACGTTACTTCAGCCTCCGAAGCTCTCCTTCTATTCAAATAACACAACTTTGAAAATCAAACAAAAGGAAAAAGATAATTTTTATTATAAAAAAAAATGGAAAAAGGAAAGAGAAGAAGTGAAGAGACATGGATCAAACCAGAAAAAGTGAAGAGCCCATAAAGAAGCAGACCATTTTGAACAGAAGCTTTGATGTCCTAAGAAGTGGCTCTTGTCATGTCAAATAGTCCAATGAGAGTACATTTAGTAGTTAGAAAGTACTTAGGACTTCATGGCCATAAAAGGCTAAACCATCTCTGTTTCAAAAACATGTTCCACTATTTGACAATATTTTTTGCTAGCTTTCACTGGGTTCCACACCTGCTCATAACAGCAATCACTGCAAAAAAAATTCCATTTGTAAACAAAGAAGTTCTATCTAGCCTATTTAAACGAATGGATTGTACTTCTTTTATTCACACACTTTCACTGTTCAACCAAGTTAAATTTCCTTTTGCTAGTGCCTTTATTTTTGAGTTACCTCGAGATCATATTGTTAAATCACTATCCTTCATTCGAGTTCGTCTAGCTACTACAATACTCGTTTTCACTACTATACTATTCCGACTTTCACCCCTACAAATGGCCCTGTATATGTAATTGCTACCGATATTCTCACTATGGCTTATAAGTTACTACAGTATAATATAATATAAGTATCTATATGAGACTTAACATAAATTAACTATCAATGGAACTTGTCATTTTTTGGGTTTCTTTCTTCCTAGGTAGAACAAATACAAAGTATGGGTTCTTAGTTGATTGTGTAATTTTCTAGCCTAAATATAAATACAAGGCTGTCGTTCAACTTTTTGAGACTGATAGGAACGTGTTGTGAGTCAGTTTTATCGAAGAATTTTACCTTATAGCTTTCTGAATCTATCTCCCAAACCCATGTTCATGTTTAGTACCAGAAGTAACTGAATAACTTATATTTGGTACTTGTGACTTAATAACCCATGTTCATTTTTTACTGCTATTAGGGGCGAAGCTAGAGATTAATGTACATGTTCGGCTGAACCCAGTAACTTTGGTCCAAATTTTATATTTGTTTTAAGAAATTTATCATATGGCTTCTTCGGAGGAACCCTCAATTACTCTCAGGTTTCTTTAGTTGCATCCACTATGCAGGGGAACACAAAAAGAAGTGTATTTCTACAATTGGTATTACA